GTTGGATCATAGCCTTTTGGGCTTTGAGCAGGTTGGCACGGGCGCGCTCAATGTCCACGCGGTAACGTCTGGTGAACTCTGCAGTTCCAGACGTCAATGTAGGGGTAGCCTTGTCGATGACATCGTCGAGAGGTTGTCGTGGCTCACGACCCCAGTGCAACCGGTAGGGTGTAAATCCTGTAGAGGAGTGTACAAACGTGTTATACACAAGTTGTGCACGACCCAGATGGAGATCTCGGTCCTGCTGATCTGGACTGATCACAGGATGCAGCAGAAGGGAGAACCCCTTCGACGCTCTGCACGCCTACGCCCCTAGCTCGAAGGTCCTCGCTCCGGGGGAGGGTAGGTCTGCAATGACTTGCTGGTTTTTGGTTGCCTGTAGCCTCTTTCGTCGAGGTTGTACTATAGGTAGGATAGATTCGTAATTTTGTTTGGCTAAGGGCTAACCGAGAGACACCTGTAGGGAAAATTCTTGAGGGACATATCTGCAAATTCAGGAAAATATAGGCCCGTACTAAGTAGAATTTCCTACAGCTACCCTAACCGCGAATAGCAGGCCCGACTACCCCTAGGACAGACAGGCCCTATGGGCCTAAGCTGATAGATGGTCCTATAGCCTATAGCCAGGTAGGGAGAGGCCCTAGAGGCCAAAACTGAAACGGTACCGGTCGGTCCAGTCAGTCCGGTCTAGGTCGTGTCTAGGCGAGTATAGATTATGGATAGGAGGAGGACATCAATTCAAGGCTTTTGGCAGTTGGTACCGTGTACATCGCTGTTGTGCAACGCGTGAACTGGAAGTGGTGACAGCTTCAGCGTTGGAGAAGGTTGCCATAGCTGGACCTGCGGAGTGTCGGCCATACCTGGGACTGACGCTGTGCTCTGACAGCACTTGGGGCTGCCAGAGGTCCGAGCTGTTTGAAGTCTGCTGAAGGCGAGAGAAGTTGGTGCCTTGCTGGACCCTCTTCCGAAGTAGGGTTAGAGGGTATGTGGCGCTGCAGCTTCGTCCTCAGAGATCATCTTGTTAGGAGTGGTGGCGCTGATGCAGACTTCAACCCGGGAAGTCATCTGACACTTCATCATCATCAGATATTGTGGCGCTGGTCTTCCTCTCCTTCCTCTGAGAGGCACTTGGCCTCAGAGGCCTGTTTCAGGGTGGCGCTGCCTTCTAGAGGCTGTATCTGGGTGGCGCTTGATGTTTCAGGGACTCAGGGGTAGTGATAGCGGTTAATCAGGGTTGGGGAGTGAAGCGCTGCTCAATTCTGAGCAGCGAACTATAGTTCTAGGGTTATCCTGACAATTCGAGACCATCAACTTGTCCATTGCCTTGATCTCCGGCGGCTCTACTTGGAACCGCTTATGCCACGCGGCCTTTAGATCCCCCCAGTTGATCTTGGTATGCAAGTCGGCAGCCACCACTCCATACTTGGAGAGGAGATTGTCCAGCCATGCTTGGCACGCGCCCCCGAGTGGGAGTATAAGTATGCGTGATGCTTGTACTCGCTGACGTAGTGTAGTTGCAACGTGAGCTCGAACTTGCAGAATCATGGAATCGGGTCCGTCTTCGTCGAGTCGCAGAAGATCTCCTGCCCATCGAACTTTGGAGTTGTCTCGCACGGTTCTGAGCTCGAGTGGCTGGCGGCAGTACAGATCCGCTGCTCCAATTGTTGCGTTGCGGTTTGCTGTAACTGCACGCCGTCCTTGAGGGATCCGACGCCAATCTCCAATGCCTCGAGGCGATCGGAGGTGTTGGAAGAGGTGGCAACGGGGGCGGCGACGGTTTGTTCCAGCTGCTGGAGGCGGCTGATGAGTTGATCAAACACCTGATTGTGTGTCTGAACCGCGTTGTCCAGGTTGTGAATGTCCTCCTGCTGTGCAATGCACGTGGCCAGGAGGTCCGCGAGATGGGAGAGGAGTAGAGCGATCTTGTTTCCACTCTCTTCCAGCTTCCCATTCTCAGCCTCGGCCCGCCAGTCCGCTGCCATTGTGAGCAAAGCTCGCTCTCCGCTGAACATCTTCTCGCGTCGTTGAAGTTGTTCTTCGTGGCAGCCTTTGCTGCTGCCTCGTCTTGCTGGCACTGCTGTTCAATTGCCAACAGACGTGCCTTCTCGGCGTCCTCTGCCTTCTTCTTTGTTTCGGCTGCTACTGCATCCGACCGTTGCTCGGCTTCGGTAATCAGAAGCACCATCCGGGCCTGATAGGCCTCGTCCGTTTCCCCGGATATCTGGTCCATGACGGCTGTTTTCGATCGCGTAAGCATAGACCAGGCTGGGGCCTGCTGACGTGGCACTCCCTGCTGCTGACGTGGCTGCTGACGTGTCCTGCTGACGTGTCCTGCTGATGTGGCCTGCTGGTGTGGCCTGCTGACGTGGCCTGCTGACATGGCAACTCACCAATGCCGCCACAAGGGGTACCCGGAGACAAATAGAGAAGGTAAGACCAGAGGGGGCAACAACATAGGTGGGGAGGGGTGGGTGCGGATAAATCGCCCAGATAAGGAGCCACTAATCAAAAAAGAAAAGTTTGAACTTTGCAAATAAAGAATTTTGAGAAAATAAAAATCCCAAGTTTTGCAAGTTCAGTAGGTCTCCCAACCTCCGTTGAAGTGCGAAATTATCAATGAGAGAAGAAAATTTCAAACTTTCAGACTGCCAATGATTATCAGGTAGTGAAAATCATAGAACTGCGAATGAGAAAAATTCCGAAAAGAAATAACGAGTATTCGGACTTACTCAGATGAGAGTATTCGCAGTTTGGAAAACGGTACTGCAAGAGGGATTTCCCGTACCCGGCGTACCGTTTTAAAAAAAACGAATTTCGGAAAAAAATATTCCGGATTTTTAAATAACGGGAAATTGCAAAAGGAAATCGGAATTTTTGAAAAAAGATATTCCGGATTTTCCAACAACGAAATTTCGAATTTTCAGAAGAAAAACGAAAATGGAAATTTCAGATGTTGCGCTATTGCGATTCTCCACAGCAGAAATAGTGAGAAAACAAAATCCAGGAAAAGAAAAAAAAAAAAGAATTTCGGCAGTGAGGTCAAAATCGTGATTTTGGGAGCTAGCTAGTGTGCTCTAATCAATCAATCAAGACTAATCAGCTACTTAGTCCCCGCACACGTGTCAGATCAGGTTGTCCTGATTCAGGTGTGGTGTTCCGATACCAACTGTTACATGCCCGGTTGGGCGATGTACATAATAACCGAGGATCCGCAATGTGATAAAAAGGACTGAATGGACAATGCAGTGCAAGTGAAATCTCAACAAGCAGTGTACATTCTGATACATACAAAATGGTGCTTCATAGCGCAGGGAAGACTCAGATACAAGTCCTGACCTGACCGAGACTGACCTCTATCACGTAGTGCAAGATAGCATAGCAGAATGCTAGAGTATCAATGACTAGCCCAATCAATATTGCAACGCAGACTAAACATCACAAGGTGTGAGGAGACCTGGCGCTATACACAGGAAGAAGGCGCCAGGCCCTGATCATGCACAGACGAAGAGGAGGGGAGCAGACGAAGAAGAGGGGGAGAGATGGGAATGTCGTAAACACCGAGTCTTTGCTACAAGTCCCAAATAATCCCTCGTCAAAATGTCTGAAGCCCAAATGTAGAGTCTGGATCCAAATGTCACCAAGCTCTCTCTTTCTCTCGTAGTCTGCTGATGCAGTGAAGTCAGGTAGCGAGAGCGTGAGAGGGAGATGGTGGACTGAGAAGAGGAAGAAGAAGAACTCTCTCTCTCTCTCTCATATGCCAGGTACTAACCTGTGAAGATGGCGCTGTGCTGCAGGTACCTCGAAGGCGAAGCTGGAGCTATGGCGCTGCAGGTAAGTATCCCTGGCCTCCGCCCGGTCTCTCTCTCGCTCTAGTACTACTCTAGCTCCTATGGCGCCCAGCGCTGAAGACTACTGCTAACGCTACTAGCGCCCAGCGCTGAAGACTGCTGCTAGCGCTACAACTACTCCTGCAGCGCTCCTCCAGAGTGCTGCTTCCGAATCCTGAAGACTACCTCCTGCCTCCTGAACTTCACGTGAAGTGCCTGGGAAGTACCTAGGAACTACCTACGGTGCCTGCAGGGCGGGCCAGTCCTATATAGTGCTGGCCGGTCCACGAGGCTGCTCTGGCCAATGCCGAAACGCCCCAGACCCTGGCGTTGAAGCTCGACCAGGGGTTGTCTTGAAAACAGGCCTGAAATGGCCTGTGCTAAAACCCTGGTTTGTTGCCTGAGTTTCAGGGCGGGTCCGACTGATGAGGGCCTGAAAATGGCCCTCAGTTTCAGGCTGAAAATACTCAGGGCCGGAAAGGCCCTGATTTAGCCTGAAACAACACAGGGCCTGTAGGCCCTTGTTTTCAGGCTTTCAGGCTGAAACGACACACAGCCTGTAGGCCCTTGTTTTCAGGCTTTTGGCCTGAGAACGTCACGGGCCTGAAAGGGGGCCCGTGCAGCCTGTTGCAGGCGCAGCATGTAACAGAGGGCTAAGGCTGATAGATGGTGGACCATGTTCATACCAGCCAGGAAATAAGAGTTTGTGGGCAGTGAGGGGAATCAAATCGATTGTCGCTGGTAGGTGGTGCTTGGGAAGTTCTTTTGCTTTGCCATTGGATAATTTGGATCATAATTGATTGTGGTTGAGTGACTGTTATGAGGAGGTTGGAGATGCTGTCCAAAAGGGGAACCAAAACTGGCCGTAGTCTATTTTGAACTCGATTCTCCTCTCCTTGCTCGTGTTTTCTGCTGTATGTGTGTGAGGCCAGTTCTCGTCATGGTTGATATGATTCATGTATGGACACAACTTTGCTGGTCACGGTTGGCAAGTTTGATTGCTGTGTTTCTGTTTTCCATAATTGTCTTAGGACTGAATGTGTCGCTATTTCCAAGCAATCATGGACATCGTGCCCAGATTTTATTCAACGTGGAATTTCACTCTGATGGCTGCTTACCAAAATGAAATACATGGGTTTTATGTTTTGTGTATTCCATCTTTTTGAAATTCAGGTCAACAGTATACATTTACGTTCGACAAGGTCTTTGGGCCTGAAGTTGAGCAGTCTGTAGTATTTGAAGAAATATCTCAGCTTGTGCAGAGTGCTCTTGATGGCTATAAGGTAGGTGAATGACCTCGGGCTAGTGCGTATGACATATTGGTCGTAAGTGGGATGAATAATTGTTTACGTGTCTCTTACCTTGTTGAAGACATTATGGTGTTGTGCTAGCTACTGGCACTGATCAATGTTTTGCAAAACCCCTGCACCGATGACTAGGCATCTCTTCATGTAGCACTATATGATTGCTGCCCAGCTTGTACTTGGGCACTGCTCCAAAATGTAGGTGCTCTACCCATCGGGCATCATTGCAAAAGACAAGGTATGCACTACGCAAGTGGTATTTTGCAAGTTTTTCAGCAGCAGGGCGGTAATCTGGCAGGCATTGTGTCCGCATAATTATGGGATTGAAGTACCTTCTGTCAGATATGTAGATATCAGCATGCCGCCGGATTTGTTGGTGTGGTTGGTATGGAGTAGAGTACAAATAAGTTTTACTACTTATGGTTGGGAAAATTGCACGGTAATCAAGAAACTCTGATTAGGTTGGTATAACGGATGCGGCGGTTGAAGACGTTGTGCGATCTTGTACTGGATTGACCTTGCTGAACACGTCCGGGCAGTTATCCCACCAGCATCTCACGTTCATGAGTATTCCGTTCTTAGCTCAGCTGGATAGAGCAGCAACCTTTGAAGTTGAAGGTCGCGAGTTCAAATCCTGTAGGATGCTGAATTCTTTCGGCTGAGTGGTTAAAAAGCAACAGGTCTTAAAAGTTAAAAAAGAAAAAAAAGAAAAAAAAGAAAAAAACAAAGCAACAGGTCCACACTTGGTTACTGGACACTACCCCAGTATCAGCTCTAATTCATGCAGCTGCTATGGTAACAGCAGGTGTTTTCATGACGTCAACCCCCAACCATGTCCACGAGGTGCAGTCGAATGGGTTCGTGAACGTGAGGTGTGGGTAGGATTAGGAACTTGATGTGTTCGGTCAAGAAAGCCCGGAGATACATGACACAGAGTTTATCGGCAAGTCGCTGTGGCACCCTAAACCAGGTGACTCTGGTGATAGATCAGACGTGAAGCATCTGCTCTGGTGAGCGGACGTGCTCGTTGAACGCATATGATTCTACTTTTTCAGTAATATATGGAAGTTTGACGTCTTTCTGACAGGCTAACACCTTTTTTTTTTTTTTTTTTTTTCAATTTTGCATCTGGATCCCTCAAAGAGCAACTTCAATATGTTATGCTTGGGAAGTTGGAAAAGATGCTGCTTCCCTGTTGGAGTGTATTTCGAAGACTCAATGCACTGGCACATAGCTGTCTGGCCGGTCAGGTGTACCTTGATGGGGATGCCAGCATGTCTTCAAAATCTTCGAAGGAGGAGCACTGTACCTCACTGTCTGGTTAGTTGAGCTTGATTTTATTTGCAATTTCGATCTTGATTCTTGAAGCAGCTAAAATTTTGTTTTTCCCAACTTTAAAAAAGGAAATTGCATTAAACCACCTGGTCATCTCCCAGCTAGTTTGTTCGGACACTGCGATGTACACGCCCCATTGACAGGGGCTCGGCCTACCGGACTAAAATGGCTGCCAGCACCAGCCAAAAAGATATAAATCTGGGCCTGCGCACACTCGTTGCTGGTGCACGACAGCAATCCGGGCCAGGAAAAATGAGGGTTGGATGGAATAGCTGGAAGCCAAATCCATTGTCCGTTACACTCAACCCTTGCTCTCCGCTATGGCCAAGAGATCCTGGGACAACGCCATTGATGTTTTCTTATGAAAGAACCAGTTACATAGTAGCTGCTCCACCCTCAGTTGATGTGAAAGAAGATTAGCCATACTAAATTCCCTCAGTCAGAAAACCCCGTTTTGGAGCAAGTTCTGACTAAGTCTGCTGTTCACACTTTATGTGAGATGATATGTGTAGTGTTCTGAAGAGGCATGCGTCCCCAGGCACCCTGTGTAGGAGGCAATCATCCCTCCCAAACTCCAAGAGGGTGACAAGATGTGTCATTCGGCCACAGGCGTGTAAACAAATGTCCTCAGCCTCTCATTCCTGTAGTGTGGTCAGGGAAAGTTAGCGGGGCCACTCATTTTGATTATCCATTTTGGCATGAAGATTTTGACTCCTTATGTATGTGGATGTTCCCCGTCAAAGCCCACTGCTGTGTCCTGGTAGATGGGCCATATGGCCATTTCATAGGTGCATATCCACTTTGGCATGAAGATTCTGACTGTTTATGTATGTGGATGTTCCCCCTCAAAGCCCGCTGCTGTGGCCTGGTACATGGGGCATACTGCCATTTCACAGGTGTACTACGTGTACAAGGGCATAGGGGAAATACTTTTACAGGAAGCACTTGTAACACTGATGGTCTCATTCCATTCAGAGTTTGGTTGTGATGAATCTGGAAGTGCTGAAGACAATACTTATTGAGTTAATAAGGATGGAACAAACACCTTTGAAGAAATGTGCTCTTGGGGAATGATCACTCCAAGTGGGAAACTACTCAGTACTCACAGAGGAACCATAACTTCATGACCAGAAGTGAACATTCAGTTCAGAAGGGTAGTAAATGGCAATGGTACATTATGTTCACCAACAAAAAGACCAGGATCCAAATTGTGCTCGGTGATTCCGTTTGACATTCCCGGTTCTGTCTCTTTCATGTATGCATGTTTATCAGGTTTGTATTTTTGCTTATGGTCAGACAGGATCAGGGAAGACCTATACCATGCTCGGTGCCACAGAACCAGAGCGTGAGAGAGGAATGATTCCCCGGTCCTTAGAGCAAATATTTATGACAAGCAAGGGGCTTGAGCAGCAGGGTTGGAGGTTCAGCATGCAGGTGGGTTGTGGAACATGTCTGCACTGCGGCGAATCTGCCTGTCCAATGTTGGTCTTTGTGTTTTCCCTGCTGTATTCCCCTTCTCCTGTCGCAGGTACAGAGTAAAAAGTGAATCCATGCCTGTTCCTTAGAATTTTGTTTGCCAAACATGCAATTTTGCAAGAGTGTGCCGCTTGTGAAGTCCCCATCACTGGAAACTGTTAACTACCAAGAGTCTGAGCTAGCTTGTTGGTGGTCCAGATTGGGTTGATGGCCTTAGCTCTTTGAATGTAAGAGACCTTTGATCTACCCATCTGCGTTCGACGAGGCAGACGGTCCAATTGGTGGCCGTTCTGACACTTTTCAGATTGGCTGCCAATAAGGGCCATTCTCAGATGGAAAGTTCTGATTAGCTCCGCCATTTCTGAAACGTTTTGAAACTCAGGTCTGATTTTTTGTACCAGTTCTTTTTGAAATCACTCATGTCTGGAATCCACCGTTGCATCCAGGGGCTGGGGGTGGCGGTGGGGGAGGGAGGGAGAGGGGGGGGGGGGGGGGGGGGGGGGGGGGGGGGGGGGGGGGGGGGGGGGGGGGGGGGGAGAGAGAGAGAGAGAGAGAGAGAGAGAGAGAGAGAGAGAGAGAGAGAGAGAGAGGTTTTGCTCTATTGTACATTTCTATTTTCTTTTTCCCCTGTGGCTATGTATGTGTGTGTGTGTGTGTGTGTGTGTGTGAACACATATTGCGGACCAGTCTGCACAGTAAAAACCATGCACCATACTATCACAACACTTCAGGAGGAGAATGCGCATCTGAGTGGAGTCGAGTCTAAAGACAAGGAAGAGAACAACGAAACACACATGCCACAAACAGCAAGGCAACACATAGGCTGGAGGGCACGGGGGAGGATGGAGGGCAGACATCACACAAGCAGCAGACACGGCACCCAACAAAAAAATGAACAAGGGCTGTAAGGTGCGAGGGATATAGGACAGCAGACAACAAACAAGCACACGAGGTAGGCAAATCGGAAAAAAAAATGGTCCAAAAAATATTTCAAAGACCGAAAATTTTCGAAAAAAATAAAAACCGGTGATGAGAGATTATTTCATCGGAGTTGCACCGACTCATCAGGAGGCTGGACCCTCGACAATCTGCGGAATGCCCGTATTGATGGCTCGGGTCATGAACCCTTTGACCCATGTTGAAGGCAGATTGCCCACAAGTGGAACATAGCAGTGAGCAACAACTCTGCAAAGCACCAGGCAACGCACCCGACGTCACTCATTTGCACAACACCAAAAACGACTGCAAGGAACGACAGGGCAAGCGGACAAACAGCACAGCAACAGCGCAGCGAAGGACAAGGCAAACACCAAAACAGCAGCCACACTACACGGCACACAAGCAAGGCACACGGAAGGCAAGGCAAGCGGATGGGCAGCAAGGCCGCAGTGCAGCGAAGCACAAGGCAACACCCACATGGCAGCCACACTACTCAGTGAACACAGCAGCTAGCCAAGAACTACACGCGAGGCAAGCGGCAAGGACAGCAAGGCAGCTGTGTAGCGCAGATGAGGCAGTCTACACATCCAACACAGAGCAAAGCAGCACATGACCTACTCACATCATGGGTGAACCGTGGAGACTTTTGGTTCCCACCACCCACTGAGCCAGAGAGTCACTCCGACGGACGTCTGTCATCACCCACAGACCATATGCACCACACAGACATCACGAACAGAGCGTCTCCCCTAAGAGTGCTGTAGGCACTCCAAACAACGGACCACCGACTGTTTAGCACTTCTTGAGGGTGCTCACTCAAACAAACAAAACACAAATCGGAGGAAGGGAAAGAAGGAAAAACACAGACGGACAGACAAAACTGTGTGTGTGTGTGTGTGTGTGTGTGTGTGTGTGTGTGTGTGTGTGTGTGTGAGAGAGAGAGAGAGAGAGAGAGAGAGAGAGAGAGAGAGAGA